CCGACAATTGTCCGTGCAATCGCAGCAGACAAGGAAATCGGGGTCCTCATTAATTTCCACATTGCCAACCGGTTTACGATTGGGGATGTAGTCAATAAAACACGGAGACTCGTTGTCTACACTGTTTACGCACGGCACGGGGACATTCTCTTTCCCATACGACAGGTCCGCAATCCTGATGAAGGCCTAAAACCGAAGAAATGTTGGGTCCAAACAATATTTTACTGTTGGAAGTATGCGTGGATTGGTAAAAATGCAGTGACCACAGACCTTTTCACAACGAAACTCTCCATTGATTTTGATTTCTTTATCAAAGCAGAAGAGATCGGAGGTCAGTTGGCTGCCAGTCTGGTGCAAGAAGTGGTCCAGTTCGGAGAAACTGCGTATATGCCGACCACAGGGTGCTACGTAGGCAATGACATCGCGTCCCTCTGCCTCCGGAGTGGCTTTTATGTAAACCCGAAGCCATCCGGCACGCAGAGGTATTTCGAGAGGATTCAAACCCTTGTAGTCAAAAGGGGACTCAGAACGATATCCCGACGATGGATCATCCAACACGATGGCAGATTTTAGACAACCAGCAATACACTTGTGGTCGACTAGAAAGAGATAAACATTCAGTAACAGAGGCGCTAGACGAGAAGATTTAAAATCGGATAGTTCTAATAGTACCTCGTGAATAAGTACAGTCACCTTAATGACCGCTTTAAATTCTCAGCAAATCTTGCCTTTTTGAAATAGTCAACAGGTACGGAAAATCTAGCAGTCAAATGAGGTTTTGGTATTCGCTTGTGCCTACGAAATGCAAGTTTTTCGCCGTTTCACTGGAATGAGAGCAAATTCACTAATGCGTATTGCATGGGATAGGGTTGTCCCTTGTAGGGCCGGACTGGTGCAACTCAGACCGAAAATCGAATTGAAAAAGTAAATTTAGATTTGATTTACAAAAGGGGAAGAACAGTGCGTGAGAGATACTGATGCTTACTCTCCCCATCCCCAGAGGAGCAGAGGAGACCATAGTCCTTCAAAATGTTATGCAAGGTGGAGAAGCAAAGCAAATTTCAAGGGAATATCGCCACTGTGGAAGCAATGCAGCATCTTTCGGACTAAGTGGCGAAACCTTCAAAGGATTCTTCAGCCTCACAAAGAAGTTCTGTAACAAAAGTATGCGAGACAGAAGGAGACTGAACAGAAACAACAATAAAAGAGAACCATCACTACGACCTAGTCAACAGACCTTACAAAAAAGCTCTAAGACAATTCATGCGCCGTTCAATGGAAGAGTCCTCAATCATAAATCAAACACCCCTTTTAGATGTGCAACAGATTCCAGGTTCATTTTCATGGCGTAGAAGGTGATGTTATAGGGGAAGTAGAATAAACGGTTCCAATTAGGAGTGATACCGTCTACATCTGATGCTGATGTAGATGGGCCGACGACTGAGCACAAAGCGCTTGTAGACGTGCGCAATGTTTAAAAACGTAGAGAGAAAAGACTTAGTCTCTCATTAGACCCACAAAAGTCCTCGATGCGAACGAGATTGCATCAGGTTTATAGCCCCTTAAAATTGCCATATAAATTAAAACGTATCAACTGAATTAGGAACTTGGATGCACTTTAATTTAATTCATCTAATGCTAGGAAGGAAATATCCTCAAAGCAAGTTCAGTAGGAAGTGAATTAGAATGGTCAAGAGAACGGTTGTAGCCAAGCAGGAAACAACCTAGTAGCAAGCTCCTCCGTTTCGATTCAAAGCTGTTCTG